GAACTGGCGGTCAGTTTCAGCAGCGGCTGAATCTGGACGCCAGTTCCGACTTACATACAGATTCAACTTAAGAACAAACCTACAGTCCCTATCTTGTACGTAACCTGGGGACTGCCTGTATATAAAATGCTGTAGCATTAACATTTCTGAATATTAAGAGCATCACCACCAGCCAACTCCTTCTGGATAGCCTGGATGCGGTGGGACAACAGATCTGAAGGGTTTAGATGAAGTGCAATTCTACAAATGGCTCCCAAACCAACACATGACAATGCACGTACAGAGACCAAGATAAGGCCAAAAATCCTCTAAGCATTTATCTAGCTGGATTTTATTTTTAAATCTTTTGTGCAGAACAAAGTGTTTTCTTCCCTTGCAGTATTTGGGATAAACTTTATTTCATAGCATGTGGCATAACACAAGAACTAAGGGTCACCAAATAAAATGAATCGGTAACAGGTTTAAAACAAAGCAAAGGAAATATTTCTTCACACAATGCATAAAAAGCATGTGGAACTCTTTGCCAAAGGATGTTTTGAAGGCTGAGACTATAAGAAGAATCAAAAAAGAACTATATAATTTCATGGAAGATAGGTCCCTCAATAGCTGCTAGTCAGGATGGGCAGGGATGGTGTCTCTAATCCGTTTGCCAGAAGCTGAGAATGGACAACAGGTGTTGAGTCACTTGACAATTATCTGCTCTGTTCATTCCTTCTGGGTCACCTGGCATTGGACACTGTTGGACGACAAGACTGTGGGCTAGATGGACCTTTGGTCTGACCTAGCAGGGCTGTTTTTATGCTCTTCTAAAATTATTCAAGTAGACAGAATATCACGGACAATTAACAGTTGTTCTAGATTTTATTTACTTTTGGAAGTCACTGAAATTTATTCTTGTATATCTAAGTATGCTGTAATGAAGATATTAATGTTCAGTTTTGGAAATACAATAAAAGTAATATATTATACCATGAGACCCTACAACAAAGAGGAGAAAAGCACTTCACCAACATTAAGTTTCAACACCATTTGGCTGGTAAGAATGATCATCATTCTCGTTTAAAGATGACTGTGATGGAGACTGATCTGAGTGACTTGTTCCACAAGGAGCCTACATCCCTTTGGGATTTGTGGTGATGATGATGATGATGAAGATGAAATGGAGACAGTGAAGGGTGAAGTGTTTTACCCAAGTTTCCACACTCAGTAAGTGGCAGAGCTGGGAACAGATCTTATCATGAAAATTGTCAAAATGACTTAAGTTTGGATGCCTTACTGTTTAACTGTCTTGCTTCAAACATTTTAAAGGGACCTGATTTTCAGAATGCTCCAAGCACTTGCTCTGTAATAATTAGGCTTCTAATCAGCCAATCAGAAAGTTCTGAATTTTGAAAATTGTCAGTTTTTAAAATGTAGGCCCTAAATTTGGCCCAGCTCTAGCCACCAGACTGACCTTACTATTCTACCCCTGAACAGGAACAATTTTCCATTTCCCCAGCTTTCTGTTTGAGTTCCCACTTTCATCATTGGCAAGATTTTGCGCAAATACTCTTTAACCCAAGAGTTTTTGCGTTAGAGTATTTGCGCAAGAGAGTATCTACACCAGCATGTGCTTTTGCGCAAGAGATGACTTTTTGTGCAAAAGCATCCGTGCCCAGTATAGACGCGCTTTTGCACAAGAAAGCTCTGATGGCCATTTTAGCCATCGGGCTTTCTTGAGCAAAAAATTAAGGTGCCCATCTACACTGGTCCTCTTGTGCAAGTATTCTTGCGCAAGAGGGCTTATCCCTGAGAGGGAGCGTCAAAGTATCTGTGCATGAAGCACTGAATTCTTACATTAGAACGCCAGTGCTCTTGCGCAAATTCAAGCGGCCAGTGTAGAGAGCTGGCAAGTTTTTGCACAAAAGCAATTGCTTTTGCGCAAAATCTTGCCAATCTAGACGCACCCCTTGTGTATAGAGAATGGGCTGACATTATTTAGCCAAAACAAATATATAAAAGGAAGGTATCTGTAAACAAGTTTATTTGCTCCCAATTCAGGTCTTGCTGGTACCTATAATGTGCATTATGAGGAAAATCTCTTTGTAAAATGGGTTACAGTTTACTTGAAAATGCAGTGGTGCATGTCTACTACTGATGCAATCTCCTCAGGGAGCCTGACAGAAAGTTTCCAAGTAATGAGGAAAAAAGTATTAGGTTGCCAAGCTTTCTGGTCCCCTAAACAGCTTGGCTTTTCTGAGACTCTGTAATTTATAGAGCTTGGTTAGCAACTGGAAATGGTGCCAACAAAATGTTTGCTTAAAAAAATAAAGGGCTTGAGCAAAAGGCGGAAAGAGGGTGTGACATAATATAGAGTAAGATGTATTTTTTTATTGGATGGATTTAGTGGTATTTTGGTTACTGTTGCTATGGGACATATACTTTAGACCACATGCTTATTAATCATGGAAGAATGAGGGCAATGAACTAAAAAGTGTCACAAGGCACCCTCTCTGTATGGTTTTTCCAACAAGCTTCCAAACGAAATAAAACTCTCTTCTTTAAGCATGTCTTCTCACTAGGAACAGGTCCCTTTGGGTCTGATGCCTTACTGAGCAACTGTTTTTTCACTGAGTTCAGGAGAGGAGTACCAGGTTGAATTTATGTGAAACAGAATTGTTTTTTATAAGGTCAAATACATTTCTTGCGTAATTCTATTAATTTTATTTGGATGATTTTGACCAATGGGCCAAAACCGGATTGGTTATTTTTAGTACAATGTAATCCACAATACGTAAAGATCAACTACAGACCGTATGCATTTCAGTAATAAGAAATAGCTCAGAGCTGGTTTCAGAAAGCCAATAGGAAATTGTACAGAAGCAGACCAAATACACCCTCTGGCCAAGAATGAGTGAGCAGACGTGCGTAATCTTCTCAAGCACTCCTGGAATAAAGACGATTTTGCAAACTACTTATTCTTTCACAGACACTAATTTAAGAAAAGCACCCCGGACTTTTGAAATTTCACCTCTGCATCTGTTCCTTCTCCTCAAAGCTTGCAACTTAAAGTTATGCCAGTCAGCCTACAGAAAGGTTGATCAGGATAATACGTAAATTCCTTTAGAGAACAAATATCAGGAAGGCCATTCTCTCTCCGATCTAAACACTAGCCTTATGGCTTTTCTCATGAGGATGCAGAAGATTCAGATTTCATGTCTATACATTTCTAAACTTTCGAAGATACAGAAGGTACAGAAGTAATACCTCAAATGAGGAAATATATTAGCAGCAGAGGAAGAAATTAAAAAAGGATAGAAAAGTTATTATGAACATAACAGGCTTTTACAATACACTCAAGAAACATTGGTTCTGATACCAATAATTTATGTTAACAGAGAAAAATAACTGTACGTATGCCAGGGGTTACATTTGGGTCTAAAAATGAGAGATGCCCATCCTCTGTAATTAAATACAGTAAAAAAAAGTACTTCAACCTCAAGTAACATTGGAAAGAAAGAAAAGGTATTTGAGGGACTCTATTTTGGGGTGTTAGCAAGGGTACATAAATACTGTGCATGGGATGATAAAGAAGATGGTAAGTTATGTTTACTCACTGTCCAGTCCTGGCTGAATGATTGTCATTAGCGAAATGGATTTGGTCAGCGGTGAGGAAGTGGGAGAAGCACAGAAACTAAATCCATGTGGCTGCGATCTTTGGCGTATCTGTGGAATGGAAAACAATTATACTAAGCAGATATGCCAAGCAATACCCTCACCCCAACTGCAGATTACTGTCTAATGTTTAAATGTTTCAGTTGCCCATCCCTTTAAATACTGGGGCATTAAAACACCCAAGCTTATCTTCCCCAAATGAGTGGGCCCAAGTACGGTAGTAAAGCACAAATGTGGGGAAATGTAACATGACAAGCACATGGAGGAATTGTAAAAGTGAAATGCAACATCTTTAAAAATGTGAAACAATGTTAAGTATGTAACAAAAATAAAGGCAAGCACAGGTTATTTCCCTCGCTGGCCAGCCATTAAAATGTATGTTGTTTATTGTCTGATAATCAATGAAAATACTGCAGTGATTTCAACCCCTCCAGCTGTAATCTATGGAGACAATATTTGCTTTTGTTAAACAGAACTGTGCTGAAATGTAAGTAGAAAATATGATTTGAGGCCTTAAATTTGGGCTTGATAAGGCCTAATAAAATATGAGTAAAGTGAGAGAATATAGAGGCAAGTTAAAGATAAATTCGAACACAATCCTAGGTCATATGGTAAACAGGTTTTGGTTTTAATTAGTTATAAAAAGTATTTTAGACAAAATATGAACGTTTTGAAAGAATGCTATCTGTATTGATAGCTACTGGAATGATATTTATGTAGACATTACATAAGATTATGTGTAATATTAAACAGCCAATGAGAAAATAAAAAATATTTAATTATGGTAAATGGTAGGCCTAGTACTAATTAATTAAGGCATGTTATTATAACTGATTATATAAAAGGTAGTAAGCTAGTTTTAGCTTAGCAAGCTCATCCTCCATTTGGGTACCATCAAAGTAAGGATTTTCCTCATCCAGGGACTGACCACTTTGGATGTACCATTTTATCCTGTAATATGGATCTAAAAGCAGTGGATGGTTATACTGTAATGTCTGTTTTCTTCAATTATTTTATTTTAAATAAAGTCTTGAATGAATGCTGTCCTTCACTATGTCACTGGCACTCTTCCATTACATTATCTGTTATTGCCCCAAAAGCTCAAACTTTAAACAATGCAGTTTGATTCTATTCCTTATCCTTAAATTATTAATTGGGAACTCATGAATCAAGGTTACAGACTGGCGAATGGTACAAAATGGCAAAAGTACAACACTAAGGATTTGTAACTGTAACAATGGGCCTTCAAGGAACAGCATTTATCAAAGCAATCGTTAATACCTACAATCCCACATTGTAATGTCAGCGCTCTCAGATCATTTCTTGTGAGCCCTTGTTACTCCCTTCTCCTTGGAAAGCAACGGTTTACTTAGACTATAACTCAAACACCACTTTCAACACCACTTTGAAGCTCAAGTGTCAGTTGTACCATTTCCTCTGTGTGCGACTCATGAAGGTACCAGAGAAAATCAATATGCCAGGATCAATCAATCAAAGGCGATCTCTGGCAGCTAAGTGGGCATCTATATAATCACCAGTTCTTTTGTGTCTGCTCAGAGGAGTGTTATGGTGGAAGTGTGGCTTTCAAATATTCAGCCCATTTAATATATTTCCCTTGTTGATAAAGTTTGAAGATACATGTCTTCAGAACACAGGCCCATCTTTCCTGATTAAATCATCATCATTTATCTCCTCTCTACGCAGGTGAACCAAAATTTGCATAATTCCACATGTATGACATTGCATGTTGTTGCTGCTTTTAACAGTAGGATGAGACCACTAAAATCAGAATATAGGTTATTAGGAAAGAGGAAGGTTCTCAATTTCTTGTACATTATGGCTGTGTCTAGACTGGCAAGTTTTTCCGCAAAAGCAGTTGCTTTTGCGGAAAAACTTCCCAGCTGTCTACACTGGCCAATTGAATTTCCGCAAGAACACTGACTTCCTACTGTCTGAAATCAGTGCTTCTTGCGGAAATATTATGCTGCTCCCATTCGCGCAAAAGGGCCAGTGTACACAGCTCAGATTTGTTTTGCGCAAAAAAGCCCCAGTGGCGAAAATGGCGATCGGGGCTTTTTTGCACAAAAGCGTGCCTAGATTGGCACAGACGCTGTTCCTCAAAAAGTGCTTTTGCGGAAAAGCGTCCGTGCCAATCTAGACGCTCTTTTCGGCAAATGCTTTTAACGGAAAACTTTTCCGTTAAAAGCATTTCCGGAAAATCATGCCAGTCTAGACATAGCCCATGAGTATAAACCTTAAAAACTTACCAGATAAAACAGTACTTAAATATGCTTCATATCCTCAAACTGCCTCACAAATATTATTTTTTAAACCTCATAACACTTTGATGGGAGAAGTGTTATTAACTCCATTATATAGAAGCAAAGTGACTTTTCGAAGACCACCCAATCAGTGGCATGAACTCAGGGTTTAACCATGCAGCCTCCATGGCTGAGAAGCAAAGCTGCTTCAATCAAGTGGGAGTGATGCATGCAAGGTCTCTTAGCCTCTGTCAGGCACATCTCTATATTAAAGATGAGAACATTAGGGATGTAAAAGAGAAGTCGAATAGCCAACTATCCAATAAGCCTAGGTTTATTGGGTAGTCGAGTCGACTACTTGCATTTCCACTCCCGTTGCTGCCTCTATATGAGAGGCAGCAAGGTTGGGGGGGGGCAGGGGAGGGAGAACAGGAGCTGGTGCTGAGAGGAGCTGGCTTAAAAGCCAGTTCCCCCGAGCACCGTCTCCGCAGTGCAGGAGAGGGGGGACAGGGGACGCAGAGCTGCAGTGCTTGCGCGGGGTCCCGATTGCTGAGCCTCTGCCTTTTAAATGTAGCAAGAACAATGCATCAGGGACGCAGAGCTGCAGTGCTTGCGCGGGGTCCCGATTGCTGAGCCTCTGCCTTTTAAATATAGCAAGAACAATGCATTTCTTACTACATTTAAATGGCAGAGGGTCAGCAGTCAGGACCCAGCACTCCGCTTCACCTTCCCCACTTACTGACTAATTGAGTAGTCAATGGAAATTCCATTGACTACTTGATTAGCTGATGAATCAATATTTAACATCCCTATTGAACATCACTGCATTATGCATGCAAAAAGGACATTCACTCAGGCAAAGTTTGGGAGTCTTTGTTCAAGCATTTTATGAAAACCCAACAATAATAAAAGAACAGCTTTACCTGACGGTCAAACCCTCTGCTTTCCCCCTGCTCAGATTCGACTTCTTCTTCAGTGAGCGAGACCAAGGAGCCACGGTCATCACTAGCAAGTGGACTTGGCCTAAGGTCTTTGCAACTCAAAGAGGAAGTCTCTAAATTTGAGGAGGGCTTCTTGTTATCATTGGAGTCTCCTGCTAGGCCTTCTAGGCTGTAACTGAAATAAAATCAGAGAGGTTAGACCCTGAAAATTCTTAAGGCTTTAAAACACACTGTGGTACGTGAATTGTGTGCACGAGCCATGTTCTAATTCAAAGAAGATGCCACCTCTCCATTAACAGTGGAGTGAGACATATTATTCCCTCAGTCTCTGTTGCTTCCTGTGACCTACTTCAGGTAGCAACTTAGGGTGTGTTTTAATAATTATATTTAATTCAATGTCGCTGGCAGGATCTTGGTACACTCAGAGAAATGGTTGCCTGAGAATAATGGACCAGTGCATTTCTGTGTTACTGGACTCTGTCTCACACTCTAGTTTTCATTTGCATCCATTCTATTTTCTCATTTTTACATGATATATTGTATGTGGCTCAATTTAAGCTAGACATAGCTGGTATATCTCGTGCTATTTGAACCTGAATAGATGTTCTATACCAAAACGTTCTACACCCACCAACAGCTATGATGCTATTGGTTTATAGACATCAAGATACTGAATGTGGAAAACTCTTCTTTGCAGAGCTGTTCTTTGACACTGCTTAGAATTCGATGCTGTGCACAGCATTGGCAGAAAGCAAGGCATTAGTGCCAAAATCTAAGTATTAAATAAGTGCTGTCTCCATCAGCCACTGAATCACATTTCAGCTTTTGTCTCTGCAGCTAGGTGATCCAACTCAGCCAAACACGATACTTAAAACTAAACAAAATAAAAAGCATTTGTCTGCAACTCTGGTGCTTCTGAAAGAGTTGGCCACACACAGCCACAATGACAGCTGCTGATAAGCAAGTTTCCCCTATGAAGAGCTATGCTAATGCTATGAGCTAACAATTCTCACCTGCAATCTTCCCTCCTCTATCCTCCACATATTACATTACTGTCCCACCCGCACAATTCTATCAAAAGCTCTGTATCCAACACCTCAATCCTGACCTGCAGCATCCCTTGCAATTCCGGACTTGGGTCACCTGACAGGTCAGAGAGTCACCTCATTCCTGACCTGCAGTGCCTTCAACTATGCCAGTCTTAGATCCCCCACATAGCTTGATCACTGTAGCTCGTCTCACGTGCAGCAAACTCTACCATTCTTATCCAGAGCCTTCTTTGAGAAAGCGGAGTTATGTTATGGGCCAATATACTGTAGAAACTAAAGACAACACTAATACACGAATGAAGATTTCTGCCTCGGTTCCTTAAGATGAAAGAACACATTAGTTCCAGTGCATCTCTTGATATCTTTTGGATAGGACCCTGCCATCCAACCATAGCATTTAAAATCCTACTTTTTTCAAATGTTGAAGCAGGATCAATTGCTTGTTAGTGACCCATGAGTGCATGAAGACAAAATGACAATTACAGTGACATTTTGTGTTCTTTTGATTGCCCACTCTGCGTATCATGTATTATATGAACATTTGCTGTGGCGGGATGAAGGGCAAGTGTTGTATAGAAAACATTGAATATGTACAACCCACATGGACTCGTGGTTAATCACAAAATTTAACTTGCTATTGAGTTAATATTCAAAATGTGTCAACATTTTTTAAAAATTGCAATGTACAGATTATTTGCACATTTAGTGGAGCTTTATACCCTTGTAGTCACTACATGAATACTAGTATTCTACATACCACTAGAGGTATTGCTGAGTGACAAACGTATCACTGTGAAAGCAAAAGCTGAACTAAATCTTAAATCAGAAGACTCAAGACATCTGGCTTCTAAAGATTTTTTCAGGTTAGTAAATCAAAGGGGCAGACAAACCACGGAATTTGCAACATTATCAATTTACAAAAGCCTTTAATTACATTGGTTTAGCTATAGCATGCATTGTACATTTTGCTCCCAAACATCTGCAAGAAAAAAATCTGTCCCACTGCTAATATCCAAAGAGGCAAGGCTTTTATTCTTCCAGTGCAAAAATCTTGCTGGTAGTTTGCTGTGATCTTGACATCTGTTTTTTCCATAACTGGACTCAGAACAACAACTTACTTCAGACATACCATCAAATAGTCATGAGCTGATAATGATCTTTGTTTTCTATCTACTGTATTTGGGGGCAGCACTCAAAGAACAAAATAGTTAGGAATTCTATCCTTTAAGCAGTGAAGAAAAAAATAAATCTGGGTCTAGATCTTCAACTCTGTCAGTTTACCTCCCCTGAGAATCTGACCTGTGATAATTAATTCTGCCCCTGCACTTTCTGTATGACATGCACATTTTAAGTGCCTGGGAAAACCAAAATCTGTGTTTATCAGATTGTTTTGTTCTAGGCTGGTTGAAATGATTAACTTCTTTACTCAAGAGAGAGCAATTTAAATGCGTATAAAATATCAGTCTGTATGGAATCCATAACTAAAGACCATTAACTCTGACTGATTCTTTACCTGTCACTTTACCTTAAATGTCATCGCAGAAAAAAAAAGTAACTTCAGTTGAATCATGCAGCTCCTCTCCACACACAAAACTAGCAGAGACTAACCAGCACTTTCACCAGCACCCCACTCTCTAAAGGACCCAACACCAAATGTGTCTGAGCAGAAACAGACAAAGCAAACAGACACAAGCACATTCCAGCCACAGCCACAGAGAAACAAACTACCACACAAAAAGCTGACAGCACTGCATTGGCAGTGCCTCTTTGCTGCTGCACATTTATTTATACCATACCTTCTACAATTAAAGTCAGCGCCCATGGTAATGTACTGTACGCCAGAGGGACACCAGCTCAAACTGGAGATATCAAAGGCAGAGAAAGTAAAAGGGTGGCAGTTATTGGATTGTCACAAAAAGAAAATGTTTAAGGACTTGGTTCAACTTATTTAATGTTAGAAAGATTTTTACATTAATGGTAACAAAATGGGGAGGTTGCAGGTAGTGGAACAGCACAAGCATCTCTTGAACTGCTCCCACCAATGTGTACCAACACTGAACTGGTGCAAACACCTCTAGAGGTGAAAGGGGAGCTAACTATTCAAGTCCGACAGGTGAAAATCTGTGTCAGATGTGAGGGCGCTTTTCATATGTTTGTTTGTTTTATTTGGCATATGCAATTCAGTCAAGCCATAGCATTTTATATAGAGAGAAGATAAATGAGACCCATGCAGGCCAATTCACTTAAACCAAATTGTCATGAGCTAACAAGTCTATTAACAGCAATAATAATTAGCATACCGAGGCCCCTTCCATCCAAGAATCTGAAAAATGAATCACAACTATCTAATGAATTAAGTTCCTTCCACATCAATTAAACATTATTAACATAATTTTATAGATGGGGAAGAATGAGGCAAGTGAATAAGTGATCTGATTAAGGTTATACAGCAAGTCATTATCAGATTCTGAACAGAAACTAGGCTGTCTCCAAGTTCTGTGCTTTAACAACTAGGCAATGGTTCTTCCTTTTTATTTCACAAGGAAACTAGGATTAATCCAAATCAAAGACCCCAAAATGAAAGTTTCTCTTGCCAAAATGCCAGCGCCGAGAACCAGTCTTCCATCTTACATTACAAAACAGTCAGAAATTCTAAACCAAGTGACAATTGCACAGTTCTCATTTTAAACAATGGTTTCAATTAGTATTTCTTTGTGAGTTAGCGTTTGCACTGTTAAATTTGGCACTAAAATATGCTCAACAGAGCCCAATTGCAGACTCTTCAAGCATAGAGGAACCGATTTTCTGTTCGGCTATGGTGTTCAAAGGGGGCACACACCTCCCCAAGAAATACCCTTATGCAACACAGGGCCACAAAGGTAACCTTACATTGGTCATGCTCCTAACTTCAGGGGTAGAAAACATGGCCAGAAAGCACTGTGCTCTGGCCTAGGGGGCTATCAGAAACAGCACAAAAATTTGAGCAGACCCAAAGCTGCTCTGACATCAAGGGCTGGGCAGGATAAAAATTGCCCCAGAATGCAGGGAATGAAGGAGGCATAAAGCCATCTTTTCTTCAGCCTTCTTTGGTTCCAGCACTCATTGTAAAACTGGAAATACTCAGAAATTGGGCCAAGGAACCTAAATGAATTAAAAAGTAAAGACCATTAACTGAAGGACCCATGGTATTCAGTCTGAGGCAATCCAGTAGCAGTTTGTCTTGGAATTAAAGGTGGTTTTATATAGAGCCTGCTGATTGGGCCACGGTGTATATTTGAAGTTCCTGTGCTCTGTAGGTAGTCAGATATATTCCAAATCTTTTCTGACAGCTTCCAGAATGTGCCCTAAATATTCATTTTGAACAATCACTTTGCTGTAACATGCATAACCTTTAAAGAGCATTACAATCATCAGCTAACTGAACCAAAACAGGATAAGGATGCATCTCCACTTTAGAGATGGAGAATCTGAAACAAAGGATAACACACTTGCTCAAAGTCACAAGGGAAGTGAGTGTACTGCTAACTATGAATAACTCACATCATTTACACTTCCACAGCAACCCCCTAACCTTCAGTCTGCTGACACCCTTAAATGACCTATGTATACCCTAAGACAAAAGTTTAACATACTCATGTAGTTGTGTGTGTATTGACAGAGGGAGGTGGGGGAGGAGAGTGTATCCAATTACTTTAACAATGAAAATTGATCGACAGCAGACAATTCTGTATATCTGCATATATACACAAAATCTCTCTCTCTCTCAATATAATTTCTTAACTATATTAATTTTATAGTGTGACTAGCAAACTGCAGGATAGAAACTATAATTGAGAGATGAAAGAGTAGTAGGATTGGAGGAAATGGCAGAAGGTCCCAGAGAGGAATAAAAATTCTTGGCAAGAGCTGTGGAAAACACAGACATATAGAATTATAATAATGCTGGTGAGCCACCCACAGTCTATTGGCAACACCATGCAGAATATGAAAGCTCATCATACAATATATGTACAAACCCTTGGCAGAAGATGTAGGGAAGGTGGCGGAGTGAGAAGAGGGAAAATCCATTTGTCTGAGAGACTACAATTAGAATTAGTTTGTCTTCTCTCCAGTACTAGCTTGTAGGGTATCAAAATGACTGGGAGGCTGGGGCTGCAGTAAAAAGAGAGAATGAGGCTGTGTCTACATTGGCACCCTTTTCTGGAAACGGGATGCTAATGAGACAAGTCGGAATTGCAAATGCTGCGGGGGATTTAAATATCCCCCGCGGCATTTGCATGAACATGGCTGCCACTTTTTTCTGGCTCGGGGCTTTGCCGGAGAAAAGCGCCAGTCTAGACGGGATCTTTTGGAAAATAATGCCTTTTAAAATCAGGAATAAGGGATCTTCCAGAAAAGGCATTATTTTCCAAAAGATCCCGTCTAGACTGGCGCTTTTCTCCGGCAAAGCCCCGAGCCAGAAAAAAGCGGCAGCCATGTTCATGCAAATGCCGCGGGGGATATTTAAATCCCCCGCGGCATTTGCAATTCCGACTTGTCTCATTAGCATCCCTTTTCCAGAAAAGGGTGCCAATGTAGACACAGCCTGAAAGTATATTTACTAAAGTATGTGACGATCTGTATGTAAAGTATGTAATGATTTGCTGAATGTGTATATTCTATTTTTGTACATGTATCAGTCTTGTATGTGAAATTAGAAATATGAAGTGTTGATCAGTTTATAGTGCTAAATGTGCTCATGAAGGCTAGAGACATAATGGCCCGGTGCTCAAGACAATGATCTATAAATGGGTTTCTTTGTGTTATAAGCCCACACTGTAATCGGTCCTGTAAAGACAAGTGGCCGGACCACCTATTGCTGAAGCCCATTTTTGTTCTTGTATTTTTCTACACAAAGTGAGGAAAGTTTGAACAGAAAACAAAGAATGCATGCACTGGGCAAAAGGGATATAAAAGGGGGAAAACAAACAATGGGTGTAGTGGCCAGACACCAGGAGACCCCCCAATTACCACCCAAGAAGGCTGCTAAGACTGAACAGGAGGAAGGACTGGGTCAAGCTAGGAGGCTGTCTAGCTTGTGAGAGAGATGATTAGAACAACTATTAGGGTAAGAATTTGAATGTAACAAGCTCCTTAGATGGCGTGTTTTGATTTATTTTGGCTTAATAACTTACTGTGATCTGCCTGTTTTCACTTGTAGTCACTTATAGCCTACTTTTAATACTTAATACAACATTTAGGTTTATTATCAAGCCCAGTATAAACAATTGTTAGCTGGGGTGGAGCAACTACTGTGCATCTCTCTCTCTCATTTATAAAGGGGGCTGAACTTATTAGCTTTCTCTATGTAAAACTTTTATATAGTGTAAAATGGATTTATTTGATGTTTTGGAGCTATGTTCCTTGGTGCTGTCAATGGTCTTAAAGCTGAGCCCTCACATTGTCAAAATTGCTCTACCGGGGAACTGTTACCCCAACTCTCTGCCGTGGCTGGGGAAGACCAGAGTTTCTGACCCAGCAGTGCAGGGTTGTAGGGAGCCCCAGAGGACAGACAGGCAGGGTCAGTGGCATGATCAACACACTGGGTAACAGCACCAAGGGGATGACAGAACAAGACACTCATTGCATGCCACCTTACAAAGTACAGAGCAGTGTGGAATCTAACTTGAATAGAGTCCACAGAGTTTCATTAATGGTGGGTTTAACAATAACCTGAAGTATAATATCTTAATGATGATAATAAGGATAACAGTAGGTGTGAGCAAGCATGACTAACTACTAGACTGACAGCCTCAAGGGGAAGCACAGAAAAATTTCACCTTCACATACTCTTCTTGAGTAATTCACTGAGGTCTGTGCAGTCTGTGCTGCACTGTAACAGGAAGCTACTATAGAAGGCACATATAGCACTCGTTCCTTGAGACAAAACTGGCATATTAGGCTTTTGCATGTTACAGCAAGGTGTGAGAGCAAGTGCTTCTGTGGAGTTGAGAGTCAAGGTCAAAGATCATGTCAAATGCTTGGCTCTACAGAACTAAGAAGATTCTGTAGAACCAGCACTATTAAAAAAAAAGTTTGCCTGATTGCCTGAGCTGTAAACATTGCTGCTCACATAGGTCAATCATGCTGATGCTTCCCACAATAAAAAGGGGTAAGATTGCCTTATATGATATACATAGACATATATACATACATATACACACACAGAGGAAGGATAAGAATTCATAAAATGTTGTCCAGACAGAAAGGGACAAAAACTGGTTTGGAAACCTAGTTTATTTTCTAGCTTTTAAGAGGCAGAGTTAAACCCAAAAAGTTAAAATTAAAGCAAATCAGCAGTTGCAGGTGTATCATGTATCCTACTATTCTCAAATATGTTTCTACCAGCCTATCCTTTAAAAAAAAAACACACCCCCTAGGGATTTTGATATAGTTTAAACAATAATAAAGGCTAACAAACAAATAAACAATTACTTGTCCATTTGCAGTTAAAGCCCAGTTCCAAATATGTTATTTTGTTGGATGTTTCCAATCTGCAATATCCAATATCCTTCAAACTACCCTATCAACTATAAGACTTAGGAAGAATGGCTTTGAAATGTGCACAGAAGGTTGACTGAAGATTGTAAACACTGGGCTGTGTCAGGCTAGGGATGAGAGCAATTAAACTGGCTCTGTGTGTGCATGGAAGACACAAATGTTCTGAGAAGTACTGAATCAAAACTGGACTAACATACATAAGAGTATGAAGTTAGTAGACATTCAAATGCAAAATGGTTAGTCAAGTTAGTTGGCTCTGTACCTTCTCCTATGAATGGGAGGCTTCCTTATACCATCCCCCAGAACTCGCATTGAACTGAAAATGAATCATGGAAAGTGATCAGAGATGAGAATGGAACAAAATGAACAAATGACAACTAAAGAGAAAACACCCATTTCCTCCTTTTCCACCCTCCCCGAAAACCCAAACAGCAGAAGGAATGAATGAAAAGGGGAGTATAGAAATTACAGTATTCAAGGGAGCAAAGCATCTCCCATGACGTTATCTTTCTTCCTCTATTTCACAGTAAAGCTTTATTTACAAAACAAAGTATAATGGTCACTGACAATGGTTGCATCTAAGCTGATGCCAATCAAGGGTCAGCTGTATATGTAGACAAGGACAAACTAGTTCAACAGCAGGCATTGTTAGCAATCCTCACCAGCAACAGCTCTATTTGGAATTGTAGACAAAATCTCTAGGACCATTAGTGAAAAATCTAATTTTTCTTTCCTTCAAAAGGGCATTAAACCACAGCAATTAGTGGCAATTGGAAGATACGTCAATACTGCAAACATGGTGTGTGATTGCAGCTCATAGAGACATAGCTAAGGCAGCTATTAGCCAGCTAGCTTGGCTACTAAAACAGCAATGCTGCAGTAGCATGATTTCAGAGTGGGCTAGACATTGAGGCCAGCAGTTGGGGTGTTGGGTGGGGCAAAGTGGGTAACTGTCCCAAGGTCTGGCAATTCTAAAGGGCGCAGGGCTCTGACCACTGCTACTGTGGCAGCAGTGGCACACACAGCTCTGGGCCCTTTAAATTGCTGGCTGAGTGCTTCCAGGCAGTGCTAAAGGCTGTCCCCAGCCATGTCCCTTCTAGAGCAATAAGCTGCATCCCTCACTTTGCTCAGGGGCCCAGCACGGCTGTTCGCTCCCCTGAAGACACCTGAGTAATTGCCCTGGGTTCCAAGTGGGCTTGTACAGTCTGCTGTGAATCTTGGAGTGCTCCAATACCCGTACATGAGCAAAGCAGGTAAGTTAGCTGGCTCTGTCTGTGTGAGCTGCAATCTGCCTCATATGAGATATATGAAGCTCAGTAAAAACTAAGAATTACCAAAGATGAAAATGCTTCATTGGAGTCTTGTAAATACTCATGAGATTTATTAATTAAAAAATGTTTTAAAACCCATATTTAGAAAGATATTTTGTTTTTTCTTCTTCTTTTAATAAAGATTATCCTCAATTTTTTTTCTTTTTACCACAGAAATATAGAGGCAATTCCCTGCTTTTGCTAGAGGATGCATGGAGGATTGGGGGAGTCTCATGTGGACAGCTCTCTCAGATCTGATCCTGCTTCCATTTTAGTCAATGGAAAAGCGACCTTTGATATGAATGGAATTGGATCAGGCCCTCAGCCATTAACTGAAGGCTGGAGGAGTTAAATCCCAGCAAAAGTATTCTAATTAAACAGTTATTAGCAAAAACCAACCCAACCAACCAGAGATTTAATCAGATTGTATAATGCACAAATTTCCAGGCTTTCATACATTATAACTAAGCAAAAGGGTGCAAAATCCCAACTGGCTTTTCCTTTGCAAGTCACATCTCAGCCAGACATCCAGCCACCTTGTCTACTGGTGGCTGTGTACATGAACATGTGAAAATAATTCCTCTGTTTCTTTACTTAAAAAAGAATTATCAATGATTTACAGTAAGAATATTTTCCTATATCAAACATATTCATTCAACCTCTGATTCAGAAGTTTTTAATTCCATCTGCCTAGCATTAGCTGTAACTGTCAACTATGCAGTTTATTACCCTTATAAATCCTTACTTAATAAGTTCAGTACATAAAAATATATATATTTTCTAAATGAATTTGAGCTTTATACTCAGTCTGTCATAAACCATCTTTTATCTCCGAAGTTCCCTCTCTTTCTGTTTTAAAGTATTTGTGTTATTTTATTTATTTGTGTCATCCTGGGATTGTGAAAAGTCCAGAAAGGGTTGATGAAGTCATGTAACAAAAGAAACAATGCTTGTGACTTTCAGAGTACTGAATTGTTTCTCAAGTTTAGATCAAATCTGTAAATTAAGGGTCTATAATTTCTCTTCAAATAACCTCTAGCAATATCAAGAAGATGTATGCCTAAACATTAAATGGTAACTAATCTCTCTAAACCAAACTTTGCCCCTTGGCAACTTAGCAGGAACCAAAGGAGAAGGATTGATTTTAATACAATGCACACTTGACTGTGGCAATGTTACTTGTTAATATAGGGCTGTGACCCATGAAAACAACTCCCAGCAATCAACTAGATGATTTCCACTTTGAACTCCTGGTGGACTTGCAGTCTACAACAAGCCACACATTCATATTACAAATGAGACTGCTGTTATGCAATATATGTAACTTACAGAATAAACTTTGACCACCTTGCTTCTAAAGCAATGTTGGTCCTATTTAAGTCAATGACCAAACTCACTTGGCTTCAACAGGACCAAGATCTTGAATGACTACATCAAATTAGAGTAACTTTTGTGCAGTACAAATGAAGAAAGACTAATGCAAGTTAAGAACATGGTAGGTACAGGAAGTCAGAGAACTTGATAGTTACTCAGAATGTGGAGGGCTTACACGTAATCAATTACTTTATGGGTGGAATTTTTCTATAACCAGAGATCAAGGGAAGAGTGGTTCTGGAAAAGAACATTATTTCTTTTTCACAGTAGTAGATACAAAGACACACACAGCAAGCATTGTCTTTATGGCTTTCAATAGTCTTTTCTGAAGGAGGGAGAGCAGAAGGGTAAACTGGAGAACACCCGAGGCATAGCATGTTTAGGGGTAGTCCACTTAATTCAACTCTGCAGTTCTATCAGGAGTCAAATTGGAGCCCATCCACCTCAGTCCCAAAACTGAAGGCCTCTACTTTTCTACTATAGTCTTACAGCCCATACAATACCTTAATGCGAGTACCCTACTGATTAATATTGGCCGTGTTTATTCTGTGGTCACCTAGATTTAACAACGCAGATAACTTTTCCTTTAACAAAATCCTGTACATACAAACAGGTGGGGATAATACACATGAAGGACAGGTCCAACGTATTTCCAGTCACTTCAATGGGCTTTAGATCAGGACCTAAATCCTCTGGAAAGCTAAAATATATTGTAGACAAAAAGTACTTTTAATTCAACCTAATTTAATTTAATTTAATTAAAACCAAGGATATTAGTATGCTTGGGTTTTTTAGGCTGGGAAGTTGTGGTAGATGGTTCTCTCTCTCCCCAGAGCTCATGAAATAAATTAAGCAGGACCTCACTTTTCTTTATTTTTGCACATTTATAGACTCATAGAATATCAGAACTAGAATGGATCATGAAAGGTCATCAAGTGCAGTCCCAAGCCCTTGTAGCAGGACCAACCACCATCTAAAGCATCCCTGATAGATGTCTGTCTAACCTGCTCTTACATATCCCCAAGGATGGAGATTCCACAACCTCCCTAGGCAATTTATTCCAATGCTTAACCACCCCAACAGTTAGATTCTTCAGATGCAAACTGCAAAGCCCACATTCATATGCCTGTGTGTATGTTTGCAAACAGCCTTAGGCAGCCCTTCACTCACCTTCTGTGATTCATTTCTGCCTCGTTGGCAGCATTCTTTCCTGGCCCCCAGCTGTGCCGTCGGAAGGGTGACAGTGGTCGCATGGAGTTTCTTAAGACAGAGGAGTGGGGAGGCACTTCTGTAATACTGTCCATCTCTTCTTCCATCTCACATGAACCACCAAGTTCACTCTCCTGTCCCCCTCCAGCTGCCATGTTAATGCAACTTCCATCCAGAGTATGCCTCTCCTTAGGCCTGTTGAAGTTTAGAGCCTGTGGAAGGGATATGTCACTTCCAAGGGAAGAATTCCTCTCCAAGGACATGGTATCATCTGCCGATGAGCTGGAACTGGTGATATCACAAGTAGACTGTTCCTCTTCAGGCTGTAACAGCAAAAGTAAAAACATCAACCATAGCTAAGACAATTCTCAACTGATAGCTCTGGCCAGAGCCAGTCATCATAAAAGCTAGGTCTGTTCCTTCTTTGTTGTGTCAGCTGCACTCTAAAACTTTGCTCCCATGTATCATCCTACCCTATAATTCATCCTTCTGCCATAAAAGTTAGACTTCCCATTCACTTCTGCCAATGCAATGCAACCCTGACACTCCAGCACTTCCTGCTATTCTATTAATGTCCTTCTCGCAAATCTGTCAATGTACCTTAATCTATGCAGTTTCTCCTTCAATTCTAGCCCTTAAGCCTTTTACCAGGCAAAGGTTTGTAAGACTACCAAATATTTCTGTAGTTTTAACGATTGGCACAGATGATTGCTACGTCATACGACTTCAGACAGCAAACTCAGTCTTCTTTGTGGGATCTGAACCAGATTTGTAGCTTCTAGTCATTACGGCTGAACGGCTAACATACTGTTCCACTCCATCTTATGGCACAACTAGAACATTATTCAGTAGTATAACACACACACAAGGATGACACCCCTCCCCCAAACACCTTCCATTTATCAAAAATGGAATGCCAGGATTTTCAGCACGTGCTAACTCCAACTATAACGGAAAAGTACTGTTCCACAGAATTGGCTTCCTTGCGGAATGGGTCTTTATTCATACTGTAATCTTAGGGTTAGTTTGTTCCAAAAGCAGTAAGTGGGAGAACTCAAGCTAGTTCTATTCTGTCATTGCCTACATACTGACAATATATACTAAAGCAAGTCTATGATTATCCTGTTCTCGGTGGCTAATATAGAAAACACAAGCATGTTGATATCACTTTCAGACTGAAATGATGTCTGCCCTTGAAGGCCAATGTGGGAAGTTACAATGTATTATACTCCTGAAGAACCCTGCATTGCATCATTTACAATAATAATATTCAGAAGGACCCACCCAGAGTAATATATTTAAAAATCAGCAAATTAGACCATTCAAGCATCTGCATGTGTCTGTTCTGTGTTTATACTAGAACAAAAATATTAGCTAAAAGCTGATATTTCAATTAGAAAGGTAACATGAGGCATCTGAAAACAGTCACAGGTTTAAAAAAAACTTCATAATTTTAAAGAGAAATATGGATTGTGTAACAATGACAATTGGGTGAATATTTGGATGACTACCAGACAACAGCCCATCAGCCTTGATGGGCCATTAGAAAAAGAAACAGCAAGACTGTGAAGTTTGGAAAACAAAAGATACCTGCTTTATGTAAATCGTATTTAAGTATACGACATTATATTGTAACTTGTTTCTTGAGTGCATTAAGCTTAGTCTGCATATTTTGTTTTGGTGGCTCAGTAATCTGCTTTGTTCTTTTTGATATCTCCTATCTCTTAAAATCTACTCCATTTAATAAACGCATTCTTTGTTTATTTTGAAACCCAATTTGTGCAATTCATAACTGAGGGAGTATATCAGATGAGACCATCAAGGCAGGAGACCCGTCACAATAGCTTGGCACTTGCATGTCATGATGATAGTTTACTGAACTGCCTAAATCCAGACAAATTACTTAGTAGTCATAATGAGAACAATACTTTAGCAGAGAAGGAAATAGTCTCTTTCCTGGGTCCCAGGAAGCTATTGTCATAATTAGGGCAGTGTCCCTGATGGGAAGGAAGACTGCATTCTGGCTGACCCCAAAAGATGCAGTTAGATGACATTAATCCTGGATGCAAAGTGCCCAAATTAATGTGTTTTATACCTACCTCCACAATAAGCAAAAGGATTTTTATTTTCCAAATGGAAACAATGTATTAAAACAAAACATCCCTACTTTAAACAAAAAATCAGACTTACTTCTCTCATCTGTGCGCTTGCTTGTTTCTTAAATTACAGCTGGATAGAATCAAAGTGTAATTAAAAATGTGAAATACATTTGGCTAATTTATGGTTTTGCCTTAATCTCTTGGATTGGTTTAGTAAAAAAAAACAGGTGCAAGCTGTTTGAGTCTGCAGTGTACAATTATAACTCTGACACAGGCCTGGGCAAAATAGGGCTGGCGGGTCGGGTCGGGCCCCGAAAAGCGGCTGCTAGGCTCTGGGGGAGAAAGAGGCTTCATGCACTGTCCTCTGTTTGGAGAACAGGCAACACACAAAGCACCACTCCTCATTCTGCTCAGGCTCTTATTCACTGATGCACATGATTCGACAGCCTAGGGTTGCCAGGTGTCCAGTATTCTACCAGACAGTCCAGTTTTTGCGCCCTCTGTCTGGTAAAAAAAATTCAGAAAATACCGGACACGTGCAACGTCTGGTATTTTCTGTTTTTCCGGCTGGGCGTCGGACAGAAGCCTGGCAGGGACAGGGAGCGTGGCCACAATTGGCGCTGGGAGCCTCTGGTTGTGTGCAGAAGCTGAGCGGGGATGGGGGAAGAGGCTGAGAGGTGGGGTGCAATCGGCACTGGGAGCCCTCAGCTGATTGCGTCTGAGGAGGAGTGATGCCCTGGGGAGGAAGAGAAGCCCTGTCCCTGCTCCTGAGTGCTTTTCAAGCGCGTGATGGCGCTGTAGTCCAGGAGAGAAGCCCGCAGGTGCTTTGTAGTTGCATTTAGGTGCCTTCCGATGGGCTCTCAGCCAAAACTGACTGGGGTGGAATTTCTGCTTCTTTCCACTGGGACACCCGAAGACCTGGCTATGGTGGAGTTACCTTCCTACCCATGGTCCCCCCCTCCTGCCATTTTGTTGCCTCGGGGTCTTACTCCCTCTGCTTTGGGTAGCAGGCGGCTGCTTTGCAGAGCAGGCTCTGCTGCCTCCCCCTTTGTTCTCTTGGTAGTAGCCACACAGGATGTGCGTTCGGTGTGTGTATGGGGGGGGGGG